GCATTCCTGAGGAGGAGCTGGAGGAAGTGTCTGGAGAGAGGGAAGTCTGGGCATCTTTGCTTAGACTGCTGCCCCCGTGACCCGGTTCCAGATAAGCAGAGGAAAATGGATGGATGGATGTTTTTTTTTTTGTTTTTTTTTTGAGGCCATAATGAGAAGATCACATATGCTCCGAGTAGAGCTACAGTAAAACTCATCTGTGAAGGCAGCCACAGCTACATTAAGACCTACAGTATACAGTAAGTGACGTTGGAAAAGATGGAGACAAAATCTTGACAAAAAATAAAAAAAATGCTACGACACAAGATTTTCCCCTGAAGTTTCTAGATGTGTATGGCTGCAAACAGTTCCTGAGTGAACAGGTACTCAACTGCCCTGTCTCCATAATCCCAATCAACAAGGAACAAAACAAGGCACATAAAATGACTCAGGCACGTGAGGGCATTCAGCGTGTATAAAATTTCTCTATAGCAGAGTTAAGAGGGGTTTCCTTTGCTCTACAGCATACATTTATTTATTTAGTGCAGATTAATTTTAAAGCTCTATGTGATAACTTGGCACAATGGCAGTACGCTGGACTGAGGGCCAACTGCCTGTTTCACTGAGATCACAGTGTTCATGTCACAATATCTGAAATAATGACTGACATTTAAAATAGAATTTGGATAAATTCAAAAATAATCTAAACCCTCATATTTGGGGTCATTCTCTGTCTGATAAAGGTCACCATTTTAAAGTTGCTCAGGATGTCTACTACTGTACTGAGCCCCCTCAAGAGCAACTATAACTTCAGAGAGTTTTACGACCCATCTCAGGAGACTCTGCTGCGTGTTAGTAGTGAGAGGTCTTTGGCAAACTGCATCCCTCAAGTCTGGTGTAACATGACCTGAAGACATTTCCAAACTTTCACAACAGATCATACTACTATAATTATCAGTATGATGAGCGTCTGGTGTGACCTCACAGAAATCACGAGGGTGGAGTGAACAAAAGGTCACCAGTGGAGAGATTTAAAAAAAAAAAAACACACCTTAGTTCTTCTGGGACAAAGTTCCATTTACGTCATGTTACTCCTGGATTCACCGCCTCTTCCAGCTGATTTCAACTCGACTGGTTCCATTGCTGTCCACGCCATCCACCTTAAGGTGGGTTTTGCTGTAGTGTTTGATCAGCGCTCCAGGGACGAGAGCTGCGAGGGCGATGGCCAGGAGCTGGGCCAGCGTCCCCCAGGAGAAGATGTCGTCCAAAGAGGAGATCTCTGAGAGAATGGAGCCCGTACGAACACAGATGAAGTTGTAGGGAATTAAACCTAAAGGACAGAAGCAGGCAAGCGATGAGGATTTGCAGATCTTTGTGGGGAGGGTGCGTGTGTGTGTGTGTGTGTGTGTATACTCTCACCTATGAAGACAGAGAAGAAAAAAATAGGCATAGGGATGTTGAGGACAGGGCAGGTGATGTTAAGGAACCAGTTAGGAGTCATGGGGAAGAAACGAAGGAAAAGTAGGAAGAAGAATAAACTGCTACGATTTTCCTCCACCTGACAGAGGAAAGGAAGACGGAAGATAAAAAGACAAAAGGAGGGTGAAGGGCCTACACATAGTCCACATAGACAAGAGTGGAAACATACTAAGCAGCTGATTTCTTGTCTTACACTCTATGACAACAGTGTTTAAGTAGATTAGTCAGACCATGTCATGTTCGCACTGAGGTGCTACTTCTCATGCACATGTAAGAAAAAGTCTTGGACTGAGACTTGTTTAACAGGATTTTCAATTACACTGCCTAAGTATCTAAATATTTTAATAATAATATGAGAATATAATCTTCCCTCACATCTTAATTTTGCTTTTGTTGTCATGTCAATTTTAATTCTACATGCCAAAATTGCAAATCACAACACTGGATCAAAGGGCTTGCCAAAGTGTTCTGCTTTAAAACTCCGGGGAGATTTTATTTTAACAGTGATATGTAGTTTTCCTTTGTCTTGCTTGTTTCTTAAGGCGCATCTAAAATCTACATGGGAGTCACAGAGGTTAGGAGGAAAGGGGCTGAAAGAGGAAAGTGCTTGAAATGTTTTGTGTTCAAATCCCTGAACAATCAAAAATTACGTATCTGTAGAATTTACAAACACTCTTTAACAGGTTCCCTTATCACATGACTTAAAACTACAAGTAGTTTGCCATTATAGAGGTTTCTTATGTCTTCATAATGAATACTGCTACTACACTGTTTTGATAGCAGTGAAGAGACGGGCTCACCTTCCTCTGCAGCAGAGCCACCTTCTCAGGGAAGAGATGAACCACATACTGCTTTCCGAACACAGAGGAGAGCAGGAAGCAGAATGTGGAGCCTGAAGTGGTGAGCAGGCAGGCCAACATCAGACCCTGCCAAGGCCCAAATATCGCACCGGCTAACATGTTCTGAAGGTTGGAGGGTGGGAGTCAGACAGTGAATTGTTCCACTGTGTGAAACAAGTGTCAGCATGTGACAGAAAAAGCCAGATCTGTGTACTGAAAACAAGAAAGTGATTCCAATGAAGGGAACCACTTATTTTTTTATCTTTTCTTCATAAATAAATAAGTAGAATGATTTTGACCACAGATGTTCTAAATGAGCTCTAACAGACACCGACTTGATCATCGCTTCAGATTTGATCAAAACCATGCCACTATGTGTCTCACCAGAAAGGAGGAGCCAGGTAAGGCGAAGGACTGTTTATAAAGGTAGGTGCTGCAGAACAGCAGCAGAACATAGCTGTAATGTTCTCTCTTGTAGAACTTGAGCATCTCGGCGAGCTCTTGCAGCTCGTCCAGGTCTGACGGGAACTTCAACCTGGAAGAAAACAAAAAACACAGAAACTTGATACTTAAGAGATTTTCCTAATTCATCTGAACAAACACACAGGTCTGTGATAAATAATGCCAGTTAGTTTGTCTTCCCCACACCTTGATTTGTAAACTTCTTCAGTTACTGATTCCTACATTTCCCAGAATGCCTTTTGTTAGAGCCCAACTGATACTGCAGTTTTGAGGATGCTAGGGCCTTTTCTCCCCTTACAGAGTTATAACCAAGATACAGACTTGGCAATTATTTTGCAGGTTCAGTTTAGCCTGAGAGAAAGGGAAGATCATATTAGAAAGAAGAGTCAGCTGTGTGTATGCAACAGCAAGTGGGAGGGTAACAGGATACATCTGATTGAGGGACAGAAATAGCGTGACTGGAAAGAAGGAAGACGCTCCTCAAAACACACACACACACACACACACACACACACACACACACACAATAAAATCCCCCCTGAAACTCAAGATGCCGGCTTCCTCTACCACCTGTTCCAACAGTCAGTATCCCTTCTTCCTACTGGTCAGTGGACAAACATTCTGCCCCGTCATTGGTCAGCAGGTTGATGACGGGTAAGCACTTGGATATGTAAAACAGCATGAATGTATGCATTTAAAGAGGGAACTGTGTCATCGTGGGCACTTTTAATTTTACTTAGCCAGAGCCCCATGGGAAAGTTTGTTTCTGCACATGCACAGACACACATGAATATCCACAGGGTAGACTCAGGTGTGAAGAGGGGGTTTTAACTCTCAAGTCATGTCAGACTCACTGTTAGGAACTGATGCTGTATCCCATTACTGTACATCTAATGTCATTCAGCAGCATTTGTCAGCTTTAAACAAGGTCTGGAACTCAGCATTTTCATATGTACAAGGGCTGCAACCAAGCCCTAGTTTTTAATCATTTATTTAGACAAAAAAAAGAGAAACCATGCACATCGCATCACACATTTTAAAGAATGATTTTGTGGATTTGTATGCATCTTTAGTTGTTACTGTACTCTGTATTTTAAATGACTTAATAAGTACCAGTATAATACAAGTAATATCACACACACAGAGAGAAGCCCAGCTCTTGGCTTCTGGGTGTTTCGGTCAGCGTTATTCTATCATCCCTAGACAAGCTCACACTTGACCGTCTGGCACACTGCAACATACTGTTAACACCAACACAACACACACACACACACACTGCTGAAACACACATGCACATGGATACACCAATAAAGTGTTTATGAGAGAAGAGAAATTGAAACAAGAGATGTGAATTTCAAACACACTATACTAATTTATTATAATGATCCACATTTACTGTATGACACAGTTCTATTGACCAGTATGAGCAAAAAGGCCTAAAAAGGTCAATCCTGTAACAAATAATATACAAGTGAAGCTGAGCTGCGTGGTGCTTGGAGAGGTTCCTACATTTATTCAAAACTCAAATGTCAAAAAGGTCATTCGTTGTCTTTATTTGTATTTACACTCAGTTCTCCCAGAATGCACTGGGCACGAGGGAGGGAAACATGGGTGATAGTCCAATGTTTTCCCAGCCCTGTGTGGGGGGGGAGGACCCTCCAAGGGGTCTCAAGATGATTAAAGGGATAGTAAAAAGGAAGAACATATTTGATTTCACTTCCTTCTGAACTTAGCCGACGTGGCTACAACATGTGATGATGGGTCATAAGTAGACATTGAATCATTAGAGGGGGTCACGCACCAGAAGGTCAGGAGCCATCACGGGGGGCATCACAATCATAGCACTTGGAACAGTAGTATTTAAGCCACCTGACAGGGAAAACCCCTCACCAACACCAGTGAGCACAGACTCTACACAGAGAGGGCCTGCTGCAGGTCACAGTGTCATCCACCGGGTCACTGCTTTAGGGCTGCAACTAGGATCATTCTCTTTATCAATTCATCTGCAAATCATTTCTTGATTATTTCACACACTGGTGAAATCTTCAAATGTGCTGAATTATCCTACTAACAGTCTAAAAGTCAAAGATATTCAGTGTCATCTGTGTATGACAGGTATCAAATCTTCACATTGAGAAGCTGGGCCTTTAAAAAAAATCCAATGAATACATAAAGGCTTGTGGCTATAATAAAGTTATTTCATCTAATTACTGTGCCCTTTACAGTGTTATCTGTATCAACAGTAAAGACCTCTTCGGTTTTTCCCCTCACAATCCATATAACTGCCAAAAACAAAAAATATAAACCCCAATCTGTAATTAATTTGAGTGACTGGTCTCTAACTGAATTACAGTAGGAATCATTTCAATCATAAAAGCATCGTAAACAATGGGATTAAAGTTGTGCCGTCTCTTATCGGTTCCCTCACCTGTACTCCTGGACTCCCACGTCCTCCCCGTCGGAGTCCAGGTGCTTCGGTCCCGGGGGAAGGTGCGTGGACAGCAGGTACAGACAGACGCTAGCAGCCGCCACAATGGCAGGCAGTCCCGCTACGGCTCCCCGCTGACACTCCAGGTTCACCGGCTAACTCCGCTGACAACTCGGGCTGAATTTAAAAAGAGGGGACGACCACCGGGTAAATAAAGTCGACGTGTTGTGGTTCAGTTGGACGACACCGAGGAAGGGGGTGTCCCACGCCGAGAAGCAGGCTACATATGACGGCTGACAGAGAGAGATCACATGGCTGCCGGAGACCAACAACTTTCTTAAGGCTGATGTAAAAGACACTAATGGCATGTGTGCAACAGTGTCACACAGTTGTGCTACTCTGCTTCACTTCTTCTGCTTTGTTCAGACATCTCAGGGGAAGCTTTTCGCACTTTGTGACAAAAGACCGAAATTCAGAGGCTCCGGTTTTAAACGGAAACTTCTGAGAGAAAACAGCTGAGCTCAACCAAAACATGTACTTACACAAACAGACCACTGGGGGGCGATGTGTTCAAGGTCACGAGGAGTTCAGAGGCGTCATGTTATAAGTAAGGATTTTGATTCAATCATTGGATATACAAGTGCAAAAACATAAAAATTACAATAAATAAAACAGGCAAATTAATAACACAGGCTTTACGTCGAACAGCAGCAACCTAAATTCCCTTTCTTTTCTATTTTTGTTTGTTTTCTGCCTCTCTCTCTCTCTCTCTCTCTCTCTCTCTCTTTCTCTCTCTCTCTCTCTCTCTCTATATATATATTTTTACATCTTTAACCTATTTAAAATAATCACCTTTATTTGACCAAGCATGTTACACACACAAGGAATTTGTTTCTGGTACAGAACCGAGGCAGCCATATGTGGCGCCAACTCACACTGATGGCTCTAACCAACTTGGAGGGTTCAGTGTCTTGCCCAAGGACACTTCGACATGTGGACTACAGGCACCTCCAACTCTCCAGTGGGGAGACGACTGCTCTACCTACTGAACCACTGTTGCCCCAAATTGAGTCTGTTTTGAGGTTTTAATCACAGTCCGATATTTTACATGTGAAGTGATGTGAATGCCTCCATAAAGTAACATCAGGTAGAAACAAGGCAGAAAAAGACTGAACCATATAATTACTGTATGTTGTCCATTAAACAAAACCATAATTTATAGAAAGGTGTGTTACTTACAGTATTATGATTCATTTAGAGTAGATTAAAAACAAAGACAATTTCCCATTTTACCAGTCATTATATTATACTGTAAATGATTACTTTAGTAAAAAAAATGTCAAAATGTTTATTTCTGAAGTCTGACTTCTTTGGGGTGGGTGATTATAAAATCCTTGTGTTTTAGAAGGGGTTTTTTTTATAGCAGATTTTGTGCATACATGAGATGAAGGTCTTTGCAGTGTAACATTTTATTTAAGACCATGTTCTTGATTGACTGCATCACTATTTCTGATGACTTATAACAAAACATATTTCCCTTCATTTTGGTTAATTATAGTTCATTATACATGGATCAAATATACCGTTGATAATATTCTCAAATGGCATTTTTTTTACTATATTATCTCACTGTCCCTGATAAAGGGGGCTCTGTGTCCCTCCTTTAACATATAAATCATCAACACAATGATGAGTTTCATTGTTTTTATTCATTCAACATGTTTTGGGTGCAGGTTAGGGGTTAACTTTGAGCAAGGTTATGAAAGTCGCCAGTTTTTTCCTCTCATGGACCCTTTTGATATCCTGCAAAAGAAATGTTGAACATTTGGTTACAAATAATATTAACAAAACGATCTAAGCACACTTGCATGTGATGTAATTCAGTTGCAATCAGCAATGAACCTTTACAGTAGTATTAATATTAATACGCTACTATTTATGTTTTTGTTTTTTTTTACATTTAAGTGAAAGTGGACTGGAAAAAATCGTGATGTCACACAAAAAGAGGGACATATGTTTGATACATTACATCAAGACTGACATCAAGACAAATTATTTTGTGGCTCCTGTGCTGTCACAATGTGTGTACATGAAACAGGCTCTGTGCTGAAGGACATGTATGTAAAGAGAGTGGCACAGAAGAAGCCTGGCACTTGGATGAAAAATGTACTTGTTAGTTTTAATTTACCATATATCAACAAATAAGATGCTCATTCAAATGATGATGATTAAAAAAATCACCTGTCCACAGCATTTAACTCTAACAATTTGTGGAAGCACCTGTTCTGAATATATTCTCACATTAAACTGGTGGCAAAAGAACCTCATCTCATTACACATGATGGTGAGAATGGTTTGGCTGCTCCTGATATCAGACCAGGTGTGCAGCAGTGACACATAGGTGTTGAAATGTCTGGCATACGGCTTTTAGAAAGTGGTGTGGAAAGAAAGGAGGCTGTCTAAACACATAAGGAGAGTGTTAAAATAACATATGCACACAAACAAACACACAAAGTCTGACCTTTTACATTCTTGTTTGATTCTTTGCCGTTCGTATCTGACTGCGAATCATTCTTCTGACTCCTTAGGTCTTGAATGAACTGGTCCTCTGGAATAACTACAAGATCAGCAACAAGTACACAAAGGTTTTGGTCAGTGCTGCTTAAGTATGCAAGACAAGATTCAAGTATGCAAGTACACAGACGGGACATACCTGCACGGTCCTCAGGGGGGTTACTGTCGGCTGCTATAAGCGCGACCACAAGAGCGAAGAGCAGGATCACAACCTGAGCTTTCATTTTCTACAAGAGAACACTCAGGCTTAGCAAGATCATTTGTCTTTCATTCTATGATAATAGCCATTCTCAGTAAAAGCAAAATAATATCTAATATCTCATAACCAATAGCCTAATAACTCACCTCTGATATTGAATCGCAGCAGCAGCAGTTTGTTGTTTACCGTTCACGGTCTCTCTGTTGTGACATATGGACCAGACTGACAAGCCCTGGGCTGGGTGTGACCTTGTGCCTGAAGAATCTGAACAATCCACCCAGTTCAGTTTTAGGGAAAATACATTCCATAAATAAATCCCTCACAAAGCACTGGAAACATCTCTTAACAGCTTTGTCACTGTGCAGTAAAGCACACTGAGTCTGAAGTGAAACAGTGGTTGTGAGTTTAAAGTTCTGACTCTAAGCTTCTGCTTTGACCGGTTGGGGTGAGTGGATAGAGGAGAGAGAAAAGAAAAGCAACAAGACACAACAAACACAACAACAAACACTGGGCAGGTTGATGTGGCCGGTGACTGCTCATTAGAGACGTAGAGCCCCAGAGCCAAAGATGCCTGCAGAAAGGTACAGGGAGAGAGAGAGAGGACACACTACGGGAGAGAGGAGACACACAGTTAGTGACGTGTAATGGTGGCATATAAGTGCACAGAGAGAAAAGAGAGGAGAGGAGATCTGCATCATGGGACAATGCTTCCAAAGCAAGCAAAGCAACATGTATTTATATAGCACCTTTCTAAACCTAACTTACAAGGTGCTTTACAGTATAACTGAAAATAATAAAACCAGATAAATCACACATACACAATAAAATAACAAAAAAATGCACAATCAAAAACAAATACATGAGTCAGAGATGTTGCTAAAGGCCTGCAAATACAAGTGAGTTTTAAGGAGTGATCAAAAAACAGTCAGGTTAGGAGCAGATCTAGTATCCCATGGTAGACCATTCCACAGTAGAAGAGGCCGTACCGCAAAAGCTTGGCCTCCCCAACGTCTTAGTCTGGACTTAGGTACATCCAGGAACAAGTGATTGGAAGACCTTAGTGTTCTCTCTGGAGCATAAAAATGTACAAGACTGGAGATATACGAAGGTGCTAGACCATGCACAGCCTTATAACCAAAACGTGAACATTTTAATTCAGTTTCAATATTGTGGACGAACATTTGAGAGATTTGTAACTCTATATGTGTATATATATGTGTGTATGTGTGTGTGTTTATGTGCATGCCTCCAGTTTGGTTGAAATCAGCCATTCAGATTCAAATAAGACCTCAGGTTTATTCACTCTTCTCTACAGAAGAACATATTTAACACAATCTCTAAAACAGACCATAATGAAACATTATTAACTACAGTTCCCCATATATACAGGCTGTTTTTGTCTTGAGAGACAAAGAAAGAAGAAGAGGGGATGAGATATTGTGAGTGATACACATGTAAGACATTTAGAGTTCATACCATTTACTTATAGAGAAGGCACTGAAAAATTAGTGCTATCCTACAGTAGCTGTAAAAGTAGTGATATCTGAACAAATGAATGGATCTGAAAAGTACTTCTCTCTAGTTGGACTAGGACAGGTTCATGCTGTAGTAGGTGTCATTAACAAATACTATAATACAACTGTGATTATCTTTACATTTTACTTTTCCTCTAATCTATTAAGACAGTTAAATACTTTTCACGTTATTGAAACATGGCAAAGTAGACCCTTATTCAGGATCACACTTTTAAATTTGCTGTTTGTGTTTGTTTCTTATGTTTAATAGTTGAATGTAAAAGTTC